CTCTATAATTGCCTGATTTGGTTTTGTTACTCTTTTCACAGAATATATTAGCAATTTTCCAGTCCATGGAAAATTCCAGTCCCGTTTCTTGAGAGACTGCTGGAAGAATTTTATTAATGCCCAGTAGATAACATCTTCTTTCCATAAGTACAGTTGTTAGAATACCATTAGCCCTGATTTTTTCTTAAGTGCTTCTAGTAAAACCTTCACCTGTAAAACTTGTGCCTGCTCTATCCTAATATTATTTATATAGGACTTAGTGTTTGCTCAGCCTGAAGCATATTCTTCATGTCTTATTTGAGAAACACAGAAAAAAATATTTTAATAGATCAGGCATTTCCCTTTGAATAAAAGTTTTCCATCTTTAATTCCAAGTTCATCCTTTACTGCTCTTTTGCATTTGCAATACTGAAAATCCATTTGGTTATTGTAGACTATTTTAGTATTTTTTTAATGTCCTTATATCCTTTTTTGCTGTTCACACATTTTCTTTAACACAATATATTTCTTTTTTTGTCATTTTAGAAATGGATAAATTTATATTTAGGTCAATTTTAATTGATTTCATTTGGTCCACTATTTCTTATTTACTTGAAGAATTAATATTTTTTGGTGCTTCAAGCACAACATCCTTAATGGGGTAAGATCAGTTTTCTACTAATTTTATGATTATCCTCTCCCATGTACTCCCATTCTCTTCTTTTCTGCAATGGGAAATGTCTCTGTATAGACTGAGTCTGTACAATTTCAAAGTATAATTTCCAGCATACAATATTGTGGTTAGAGTTTCTCAGTGGTTCCCTTATGGCTGTTTTAGCGTAGCATATTATTTCCTCTGGATAATCTGATGTCCAGATTGCCAAGTGGAGTAGGTTTCAATGTAGTATTGCACATGTCAGATTATTTAAATATTCCATACATAAACTCAAACACTTTGAACTGGAGCTCTATTTGAAGTGAAAGTCTCAGCAGTCTCTCAGATATGGAAGGAATTAGGCTAGGGCTAATTCTGACTTCTTACATTCTACATCACAGTATGTGTCTGCAAAATTAAAGTAACATTTGGCAGGGCTGCCCTACCAGGGCTCAGCTGGCATGTTCCCTTTTCAGAACAAAACAGTGGGATCATGATATTAGTATGTTCCAATATGTGAGGAGAAGCCCACTTAAATGGATTTGATGTTGTTAAAACATGACAGTATTACAAGTAATGTAAATGTAATATAAATTCTTGACTTTTAATGTAATTATATTTCAATGCAGGCACTCTTTTCAGCCATCACTAATGTGGCAGTACTGTTGAAGTCCACCACCTAAAACCAGCTCTAACATGTACTATATAACCAAGAAAGCATTCATGTACTGAACAAACGTGATAGCTCCTGCCTGTTATTTTCGCCTGTTGTAGAAAAAGAGGAAAACAAGAGCCATCCTTTGCTTTTCAGATAATAAAATCATTTCCAGCATGGACAGTGAAAAGCAACTTACAGTGAGCAGGGGTGTAAGGCAGTGGAACATCAGTTATACACATTGTGATACCATGATGTAGTCGAGGTTGAAAGTAGGGAGCTCGCAGTGGCTCGTGGTGCATGTGTGTCTATGACTCAGTGAGTTTGAGTTTCATCAATTTTCTGCACAGTAGGTAATCTGTCCTTCCTGCCTTCGGGCTTACCATAACTCTAAACCCACTGACATTGGTGGTTTTGAGTGATCGGAAAAACTGTCCCCCACAGCTCTCACTAAAATAACCCATTTTAATGCAACAGCTCTTCTCAGCAAGGGAACCCAATCTGCAAGTATGTTGCAGCTTTTCCCAGATGCTGCTCCACGCTGGCACACTCCTCTACCAGTATGCAAGGAGAATCCTTCGCCATCAGCACTTTATTTCATCATCAGCCCTTGATGCAATAAAATGTGCACTATTTGCCTAATTGGAAACATTACTTGCATTTGAGCAATCAAGTCGGCAAAGCATTATATCAGATTGTTGTTTAGAATAAAACAAATACATTGATTTGGCAGTTGGGGTTTTGAAGCTGATGACGCCTTATTTTTCTTAAATCTGTCATCTGTAGCTTGAGGCAGCCAAATCTTCTAACAGCAAGTCAGAACAGATGGCTGATTGTAAAAGCTGTACAGTAGGCATGCATAACAGGGTGATACACATTCTGTACCACCCAACTGCAGTTCACAGTTCAGGGGAGCACTGTTAATGTTTTCTATTCTAACCCCTAGTGGTTCAGGAAAACACACCCAAAAGAAGAGAAATCTACAACCTCACCGTCTTCGCTTCCAAAACAGACAACTTTATATTCCCCATCAATAAATATCACTGTGTTTGATTAAAATTAAAATATTTGAAATATGCTTTAATATACCTAATGTAGTACTATTGAAATTTCTGCTGTACTTTTAAGTGATGTTTTACAAATGTAGTACTACTGAAATTTCTGCTGTACTTTTAAGTGATGTTTTACAAATGTGAATGATCTTTTGCATCACATTTCAATTTACCTGTGAAAGTTCAAATGTTATATGGAGTCCTGTTTAATTGACCTTGAAGTCTGGAGTATGCTGTTGTTGATCTAGCCATAGTGATAATGTTAGCTGCTGTTTGAGCGTTGTAAAATACCATTACATTTTCCATATAAGCTGCAGTGGTGCTAGTCCAGTATTTGTCTTCCAAGTTCTTAATCACAGATAATTGATAATTGAGTTCAGTTCTCAATATGAGGCATATTTTAATTTATCTCTCGGCTCTTAGAGCTAGAAATAAGATCGAGAACTCTTAACAAGTGGAGGAGCAACAATAAAGGTCTGTATGCTGTTGTTGTTGGAACAATATACTTTAAAGTATTTTTTAAAACAAGGTTTAAATGCAGTAAAACAGTTAAAGAAAGGTCTAAAGAACCAATCAGATCAATTAAATGCATGAATTTACATCCAACAAGTATATACAGCAGCTCAGTTATAAATAAAACCAGCAGAGACCGAGGTACCATCCTGCAGCCTTGATCCTGGTGTACCTGGTGTCTGCTGGTTTTCTTCCTAACTGAGCTGCTGTATATAAATGTTGGATACAAATTCATAACTTTGATCATGTCTTAATGCAAAATATTTCAAGCCTTCTTTGTATGGTTTATGTCTTAGACATATAGCTACTAGACACATAGCTACAGAAAACACAGTTAACTGGAAATCACAGCCTTCTCAGTCTTTTGCACCCCTGGTTAAATATGTGTCTGCTTAACAAAATATTGAGTGATTTGATAAAACGGTTTAAATTAGGTTCACAAAGCACACAACTGTAGTCATACAAAAACTGTTTTGTCATACAAAACTGAAATATCATCTGTTACATCGTCTGGGAGTTTGCAGGCCGGAGTTGCCATGGGAACACGGAACATTCCCATGAGCAGTCGTCCGTTCACTGGCCACGCGAGAACGTGCTCGGGCCATCTCATTGTTCCCCCTTCAACTTTTCAATCAGGCAGCCAATCCAACACTCAAGCGCCTGATTGTTCTGCCTATCTCAGGCTTGATTCTCTGCTAGACTGACGCTCTGACATGTAGCTCCCTAGAGCTGTGAGACCACTAACACTACATACCTCTTTCAACTGCAAGCATTAGTTTACTACAGTGGCGGACTAGTGCAGGTCACTGTTTTCGAGGCCTCCACCTGCTTGCTTCTCTGCACCAGGTGCTTCAGTCTTGCTGTCTAGTCGGCTCTCGAGAGTTATCTGGAGACTTACGAAGTCCTGCACTTAGGTTTTGGCCTGTCAGCCTTTTTTTAGCAAAGCTCGGCAGCACCTGCAGTGTAACGTCACCATTGGATAAATTTCCACCCTCTAAGGTTAGTGGAAGCACCTTTGACAGCAATTACAGCAATTAATCTGTTGTACTGTACAGTAGGTCTCTACACATGGCACCCTAGAGTTGCAATATTTGACCATTGTTCTATGCAAAACTGTTCAAACTCTGTCAAGCCTTGGAAAGTGTCGAAGGCTAGCAATCTTCACATCATGCCACAGATTTTTGATTGAGGTTCTGACCGGGCCACTCAAGGACATTTACCTTTTTTGTTCCTTAACCTCTCCAGTTAAGCGGTGGCTGATTCAGGGGTCGTTGTCATGCTGAAATGTGAACGTCTGTCCCAGTTTCAGTTTTCTGGCAGAGGGTAGCAGGGTTTTCCTCATGGTCTTTTCTGTATTTTAAACCATTAATTTTCCCTTCTGTCCTGCCAAGTGCCCCAGTCCCTGCTGATGAGATACATCCCAGTAACATGACATTGCCACCACTGTGCTTCACAGTAGGATGGTGTTCTTTGGGTGATGTGCTGTCTTGGGTTTGCTTTTAGGCCAAAAATGTCTATTTTAGTCAGACCGCAAAACTTTTTGCCAGATGTTTACAATACCATTTTTTTTCAGTAATGGCTTCCTTCTTGTCCTCCTGCCATAGAGGCCAGATCTGAGGAGTGCTGGGAAATTGTGGTCACGTGCACACTTTGATCAGTCCAGCCCATAAAAGCTCTTTTAAAAGGTGCCATTGGCCTCTGGGTAGTCTCTCTGATCTGTCTCCTTGTTCAGTGCTATCTTCCTTCCTGAACCCTCATTGTAAACTCCATAAAAAAGCCCACATAAACCAAAGGATGTGTTGTTAATGTTTGTATTTTATTGTCTTTGGCATGATATCAGATTGTACAATAAAAGCAGGGAAAGGGAAATTCCATTACATATAAAAAATATTAACTTTCTAGGTGAATACTGCATCTTCACAGACAGCAGATAGACATATTTGACACCAAAGTGAGCAGCTGTCATCAGTTGGAATCTTATCATCATTTTAAACAGTGAAGGAAATTCAACTAAAACTCTTTTTAACATATAACAGATTCTCCTCACCAGTGTGCACTATACAGTAAACTTCAGAAGTTGTGAAAAAGAGGAACTGTTAATTATCTTTTTTGACTACATACATAAAATACAATGTATAACTTCAAGATTTTTCTTCTGTAATTTTAAGGCTCAAGAAAGTGAACTGAAACACGCAGAGGGTTATTCAGTTCTCTCCTCAGTGTAGAGCCAATAGAATCTGTCTAATATTTTAGTGACACGTGCTTACTAGAGGCATTGCTTCTTATATAATCACCACCATTTCAGCATAACAAGTTTTCAACATCTTATTCCTAGCAGTGGGTACATAGACTAAGTGTTACTTGTGAAAGAAAACATTGCCTTTATGCTTTCAAACATCATGAAAAGCTTTGCTAGGAATCAAAGAGGCAATGAAACAAACTATGCAAGATTGATCTGGCTCCTAATCATGTGTTATTTTGTTGGCTGCGTTTCTATATACGATCACCACAATGAATAAAACTAGCAGCATGCAGCACACTGGGCAGCAGGGTGGCAAAAAGAACATTCTCTTCAAAGCTGCCAATTTGAGAGAACACTCTGCTGTTGAGGCATAATCCAAAGCCACCGATCCCACTGTGCAAGCTTGCGCTGTGTACTAAAGGAGCTTAACTTCTGCCAGGCCTCTGTAGGTATTACAGTTACTAAACAGTGAACAGTACTTTATTGCGTTGTACAACGATGGAATGAGAGAGTAAAAAAAAATGGCGTAGCCTCCTAAGGCAGACTACCAAAAAAGGAGAGCTCAGTCCCGGAGTGATAAACAATAGAGTAAAAAAAAAAATCTAAGCAAGGCTTTTTTTTTTCTTTTCCTGTGTCAGTGTTCATTAAACTGTTGCTGGAAAGCAACTGTGAGCTTGTAGGCAGCAGAGCGCTGGTGTCCGACCAGCCATGGAACCTCGGCTCTTGTGTGTTTCTGGTCCCTCTTTCTTTTACACCTCCTTGGTCATGGACACCCGCACACCGCTGAAGACCTTGCCCATAGCTTCGAACAGGGGGTCGCAGAACGTGTGGATGCAGATGGAGTAGACCCTGCTGACGCACTGGATCTCGATCAGGTAGCTCTTGACGCAAGGCACCACCGCCCATATGTGGAGGAAGGACAGGATGGCGAAGAACAAGCCCCAGATGAGGGCCAGGGGGATGCCCACCAGCGCGGTGAGAAGGCGGTAACACCAGTACTTGGTCACGGTGAAGGTGGTAAAGCTGGCCTTCCAGATGCCGTCGAAGCTGTGGGTGCCCTCGGGTTCCGCGATCACGTCCTCAAAATCGACCTAAGTCGGGACAGAGAAAGCATCGTTTGAGCACTTGTCACAGACGGCACCCCCCTTCGATTAAATGAGCTTCAGACGAGTGGACGACATCGACTCATGGGAGATTACTGCTGGGCTAGAAAGACAACCTAAGAGTCAAGCAAAAAGAGCTTTAAACAAATCAACAATCAGGATTTCTTACACCGTAGACAGCTTGTCACCACATTGTTACAGTACATCTGCTGGCATTTGCGGACATTTACTTTAACAAAACTGCTTATATATCTCTTATTTTTGCTATTGATATGAAGCACATTTTCACAAATGTAGCAGCGATTATATTCTGCTTCCGGGACTTCCTCTTCCAACCTAATTTTTTATTTAAAAAATAAAATGGCTCAAACACATGCAGTGAAACAAATAAATGTGGCTGTGTATTTTTAAGAGCATGTTTTTGCAAACAAATAGCATCATTTGTCAGAGACAGAACACCGAACAGGTGATGAGATGATTTAACCTGGTGAAATTCAAGAGAGGAGCCATTATGCCCTAATTATTGATAGAATAAAGCCTTTACTGTATGTCATGAAATGTTGGAGGCTGGAATAAATACCTCAGGTAAATACATAAGCAAAGGAACCAAGGTTTTGAGCAGACCACTCAAATGGGCATCGGCAAGTGTGATGCAGACACGCAGAAAGAGATAGACACTAATCTGGTGACTTATTGATGGATGGGTCTAAGTGTGATGATCTAGTCAAGAGTCTTCAGTTGCTACAAAACTCCTGTTGTAGAGACACATGACAACCTGACTCCACGGAGGTGCAATGATCAAGTGCCGGGAGGTGTGCTAATGGAACTCAGAAACCAGTGAACAGGCACATGCTTGTCCAAGCTATTCAAGAGGAATGGCACAGTTACTGTAGATTCGTGGATCAATAAGCTACTAAGTACCTCATGCGCTACATGGGCCAATTGGCCTCCACTTGTTTGTTTTTGGTGCATGTGTGAAATTGAGTAAAGAAATGGGGCAGGGTGCACTCTCATGAAATACAAACAGCCCTATATCAAAGCCAAGTGTTAAAATGGTATAAAGTTGGTTTACAAGCTGACTGTTAAAATGAGCATTTCAAATGTTTCAAGCTGCTCGTCTGTTTCAGAATTTGATCAAATAAAACTTGTGCTTTCACAGCTGAACTATAATGATGTGGCGAAGGCCTGATGTCCTTTCAGTGTTCCAAGTTGTGTTTCTCAATAGTAGCAGAGAAAACAAGCTCTAAACAAGCACTTCAGATTTACTATAGGTAGAAAGAACCACATCCCTGCTTTATTAGACATATCCAACAGGAATATTTGACAGAGAAAAGATTCACAATTAACACAGCATCAGATGAATGTTTAATACTGATACTGCTACCCTATATCTTCAACAACTGAGAAGCAGCTGCAACCTCTTCTTGACTATCTTATCCCTACCACTTCATAAAGCAAAGATGAACATTGTTAAAACCCACATCATTTACAATTGGATGGCTACATATAAAGTATTTTTCGGAATGAATTAGCTTAAACAAACACAATCTTGGTAGAATTCATCTCAAATGAGAGGGAAACTGGCAACAGTAATTTCTATATTATGTGGTTGTTTCATATAATCCATCTTTGGATACACTCCAAGCTTTTTTTAAAAAAAAAAACAAAGAAATAAGCAAAACAATTTGAACGTTGAAAATAAAAAAAAAAAAAAACACACTTCATCCGCATCTAGCGTCATAAATATTTAGCTATCTTTATACCCAAGAAAAGGTAGCTGGATTGCAATACATTAAAAATGAATCGACATTGTAAAATAGAGTTAAATTCCTGTACAAGCTGATCCTAAAGATGTCTAATTATCACTGTCTTTCCCTTCTCAGGTAATTGTGTAAAAGGTTGGCACCGTTTCCACTGAAAGAAGACTCTGAACACCAGGCACATATCTTGATATGCATGGTGGACAACATGGGGACTTTTTCATTGATTTCACAGTATACGCTCTCTTCCAAGGGCCTCCGAACAGAGCAACAGCTCAGAAGTGGGGGGGCTGGAGAGCTCTGGCCTTCATCTCGTTAGCTACTTATTGTGCTTCAAAAACATCTGAAGTGGAATGGTAGGCATGTGCACAATGTAATGTTGCAGTCAGTCCTGGACACACACTGTCCCTTCACGCTTGTGTTACACTTTTCATTTCAGTACGCTCATCAGACTCTGTGTCCAGAGAACTGAGACTATAAAAAGGTGTTACAATGTGCGGTTATTTTGTTCATTTAACTATTTGTTGTAATTAACTACAACAATTACTGAGAAAGTGTCAAAGATATTTTGTAACCTTTTGTTATAATTTGTATGTTGAAAATAAATATACATATTTAAATGTATAGGTCACAGGACTGCATAGTGGCCTAGTGTTTAGCATTGCTGGACTCCTGTGTTGCTATCTGTGTGGACGTTGTATGTTCTCCCTGTACTGTCCATGTGGGCTTCTGCCAGGTACTCCAGTTTCCTCCCACAGTCCAAAGCCATGCTGGTGGGATAATTGGTTTAGTGGAAAACTGGGCCTCGTGTCGGTGTGTATGCCTGGCATGCAGGGTGTATCCTGTCTTAGACTCGTTGGTTGCCCAGGTCCTACCACAACCCCGTACTGGATAAAGAGGATAGAAGATAAATGGATGGCTGGATGTTTAGATCATTTACAAATGAACTCCAAGCACCTTTGTGATGAGAACAGTTTCAATGTCAGAGCAATGGTATAATATTCTGTGGGAATTTTTAGTTCATCTGCCTGCATCTACCTATTTTTTTAACTTCATTTTGAAAACAGTGACACCTCTTAACATACTGTTCGTGCTTTTTGTTTTTACATTTCAAATAAAATAGGGTAGAGAAATTCCAAAGAAATATACTTTAGTTTAAGCCCCCTTCATTAATGTCCTGGAGCTCAGCCGAATAACTATGCGAGAGCATGTGGTATATTTTTACTTAGAAAAATCAAGTGTCAAGAAGAAAATGTCTGAGTTTCAGGAGTGGTCTCAACACATCCCAGAAATAACTTCTGGGCCACACTGCATTTCAGTATAAAAGACAAACCGTATACAAAATTTGGTAGTGCCCAAATACTTTCCAGAAAACCCATATTTATTTTTTTTCCATAAGAAGGGATGTGAAGACTCCTGTTGCTTCATACACTGGGATAATTGCTCATTTACCCTTTTATGTTTTATGTGTGTTTACAAAATGGAGAGGAACTGGAGTCATTCCCAGATGAACTTACACTTGTGCTCCCATGCTGCTGCAACTACTGTGCACAGTTGTAAGAGTGCAGTTTACCTACAGGAAAGGCTGATTTTCCAAACTTTTCCCACTAGAGCTAAATTTGTTTCTGAAAATGCTAAAGGGATGCTGAAGGTTATAATGTGACAAAACCAAGTGACAATCACAAATGGACAATTAAAAGGGGCAGAGGCTGCTCAAAATGTGTTCATCCTGGGTGAAATCTGGACAAAAAATAATTTTATGGAGATCTATTACAAATAATAAAACAGTAACATCACTTAATCCTGTACATATAACATCAATGCTATCAATGATGTCAACTAAATCTTTAACAGTAGAATGAAAATAGAAAATGAAAAAAACAGCAATATAACAGCACATTATCTTCTACCCATTCTTCACTTTTACCGAGTCTTTAAAGCAGATGATTGCACATTCCTTTTGTAGTAGTTTTATACAGAGTTTATTACAGTCAAATACAATTTGGCTGAATCAATACAGTACAGACATTTGAAATAATGGCAAAATATGTTATTCACACACAGCCCTCAAATCCACATACCCCATTAGTATGAGGGCTATGTATGTTTTTATTAAAGACATACATAGACTTAAAAACAATTTAAGTCTTAGGTGCCGTCTCTCAATAGAGCATGAAAGAAAAATAACATCACAATGATGTTATAGTATTAACGGTTTCGGACAAACAGATGTAAACTATTTAGGAAAGCAAATTCTAATAAATGTTAACTGTACTCGAGATTCCACGTTCCTTCCTTAGTTCTCCTGGCTCCGAGTTCGGAGCAGAGTTTGAGTTTGGAATCACTGGCCGTGTTGACAGCAACGGCTCGATGATTAATCCGTGTCACCAAACCAAAAGGAGGGAATCAAATGAACGAAACCATCCAACGGCTCAGGAAGCAAGGCGTCTTATTCACTGGAACTATTCCTTCAAAAAGAATGCATCATTTGGGAGCGGCACATCTTTTTTTTGCCAGCACGCTCTATGGTCGAGTGGAAGTTATCATGTCCATAAATTGTTGTGCGGCCTTGGACACGTTGTGCACAGGGCCTTCAAGGTTAGCGTGTGTCCTCAGCTGCAGGAAAACAGGTCACAACTATGACCCTCAAAGGAACTGTAGCTTCTCCTTGTTACACTTCTCCAAGATATTCTTCCAATTGTCTGACAGCGGTTCTCAGCATTCTCTGGCTGGGGATTTACATTTTAAGAACTCAGTCACAAGAAGGACCACTAGATACACACAAAAATATAACTGAAATATATACACTTAGGGTGACGACTGCTACTATGTAAGAAATTGTTTCTAAGCGTTCCTTGTTTCTAGGATATACTGTACCAGGACAGTTTGCAATGACCTCCAAAAATCCCAGGACCCTTGGAGGAGGACCACTGGTTTAAGCCAATATTATTTTTGCCAAACAAGTTAAGTCTTAGGTGCTGTCTCTCAATAGGCATGAAATAAAAATAACATCACAATGATAGATTATAGTATTAATGGTTTTGGACAAACAGATGTAAAATATTTAGTAAAGTAAATTCTGAAATAAAGCAACAATGTATACAGGCCTGACTTTTCCCCAACTGTGTTTATTCTAAATTCATCCAGAAAATTACAGGTTAGCCAATGTTAAAATAGACACTTGCAATGACGTTATGTCAGGATTTCTTAATTCTGTCACAAAGGCCAACACAACCTTGTTGGTAGTTACACAGTCTCCAAATAGCACTGATTTTGGACTATCTAATGCATGCAATGCATGCAAGCAAATCTAGGAGTAAAAATCTTGCTCTGTGAAACAAGCTCTTAAACATTTAAGTCTGACACTTCCTGCTCTGTTGAAACCACATAACAGGTCATTTTCTTTTCAAACCTTTTATCAGTTTGAAGCTGGATTTCAAATGTACTTTCCTTATTAATGCGCAATGCGCGATAACAACCCAACAGTCTAAATTTTAATTTGATACCTTTTTGGGTACACACACAAGAGGCCATTTCGCCTCTGACAGACCAAACCAAAGAAATGTGCGTGGACACAATGTGGTGAGCATCATGCTGTGTCTGTTCAAGCCAAGCAGTAGGACAATAGAAGTGTGAGGTTGTGGGAAGAAATCTCCTTTAACCCATTCAAAGGTCAGGTGCAGATTGAGGGCACCACAGTAATGCAGCCAGGGTCCTGGCTTCAAACCTTGTTCTGTGCGCAGTGTGCATGCCCTTCCCTTTTTCTTCAGATTTTCTCCAGGTACTACGTTTTCCTCCCACTGTCTAAAGACATGCGATCTACGTTAACCAACACTGGCCCCCATACTGTATATGCTTGTGTTTTGCATTAAACTGGCATCCTGTCTCGGAAACTGTACTGGCTTGTGCCCTGTGTTGGCAAGGTAGGCTCAAGCTCACTTTAACCTTCTACAAACAGTGCATTTAGTGAAATTAGAATGGATGGATGGCGCAGACTGAAGACAAACCTACTACTCAGCAATGCATTAAGAAGTGCTCACACTACATCACTTTCAATAGCCAATTATATCATTCAAGGTCAAGGTAGCCCGAAGCCTTGGTTACACCCCGGACGACACTCCAGTCCATTGCTAGGAACACATGGACGCACACACACTCATGCCAGGGGCAATTTAACAGAAGCTAATTAACCTACTAGCTTTGAACTGTTGGAGGAAACCAGAGCACTTGGGTGAAAACCCACAGGTACAAACTCCACACAGCTAGTACCCCAGGAACTGAACCAGGTGTCCAGCACTGCAAGGTTGCAATGGCTACCACTGTGGCACTTGAGTTCCTAAGGCCAAACGTTTTCCAGGAGCACAATGCAAGACCACACAGGGCTAGGCACAATGGCACAACCTCAAGAAAATTTTGAAGTCTTGGCATAGTCAGCCTTTTCTCCTGACCTGAGTACAACAGACCCTCTGTGAGACTAACTCAACCATACCATCAACAGGAGTCAACTCCTGTGTGAAACGCTCACTATCTGACGATAGCAGCAGAGGAAAAGTGGCAGAATGTTGCATAGCTGTCTCTTGGGAAGATGATTAGGTATATGCATAAATGCTGTCAGGAGTCCATTATCTTTTGTTCATCTACTGTATATACAGTTGAAAAGCATATAAGAATGTAAACTTTGCTGCATCTGGATAGTCTTTCCAGGGCTTACTTTCTCAGAAAATGTTTCCCGGAGCTGAACAGCCAGACAACACCCACACATCCACTGATTCACTCTTCCCAATCCTCAACGTCAAAATGGAGTTAATAACGAACGTTTGGCAGGGATAACAACAGTCAAGCTCAATCATCCTCAGGCGGTCTGTAATTTGCAATTAATCATGATGTCATCTCCTCACTTAAACATCATAAATACTGCACACTATCTCCCTCTCTCCCTCTCTCCCTCCCATTTGTCTCCTTGCATCCCTCCTCCACCTCCGCAGCCAGCTGCCCCTCGGTCACTCCTCACTCTGCAGAGGTGATGGCCAGGAGGTTACCCCTCATCCAAGTGGGTTAAACCAAATTATTTTAACTTTAAATACTCAATAAACCTTTTTTATGGCTAATTCTTGGCTGTTGTCATTCCTAGTTAAAGTATCTTTATTAATCCTCAGTGGACTGTCCTTTTCTAAACAGAGGCTGAAGCCAAACTTATTATTTTCCAAACATTTAGCCACAATGAGTTAATTTCATAAGAGCAGTTATGTATTTTTAATGTCTGTATCCGGTACTCCATGGCACAGCCGTCTTCTACCCTTTTACCCTAACTTATAGTCCTAAGAATCTGAGACGATGTTCCGTCTTCTCAAAATATGGTAAGCGATTTAATTATTTTTTTTCCTCATAATTGAAGAGCTTAAACTACACATTGAAATTATGCATGGCTGCACACAAACGTTTCCAGTTTCCAGCTGTTCAGAGTTTCTTCATACACATGGAAATATGTACACCCTTGGTAAATATCAAAATGAATCTGCTGGAATACTTTTCAAAACAGCAGATTGCTCAATTATTTCCAGTAACATCCTAGCCTCTATGGGATCCACCATAAAACAGTCTTAGGCTTCAGCACAGGTGTTAAATATTTACCTTACTTTAAGTCCCGGATGTTTCATTATTTGTTTTTCTAGTCCTAAAACTCAAATCATTCACCTGAAAGGAGGATTTGGAGTTCTGAAATGTAATTATTTTGAATTATTCAACCGTGGTGAGCCCGAGGCATTCTACAGGTGCCGTTTCTTACTTTTGGATTTCATCGATCCATCTATTCTCTTCTTCCAATTCAGGGTCATAGGGGAGCAGGAGACTATGTTGGCAAGCAAGAGGCACAAGGCACAGTTCACTCTGGACGGGATGCCAGTCAATCAAAGTGCAGACACACAGACACTCAAGCACACACTTGCACCAGGGCCAATTTTTTTACAAGAAGCCAATTAACCTCGCACTATATTTTTTGGACTGTGGGTGGAAACCAAAGCACTCAGAGGAAACCCATATGGGAATACAGGAAGAACATACAAACTCCACCAAATAGCACTCCAAGGTCGAAAGTGAACCCAGGGTCAAGGCACTGCAAGACAGCAGTGCTAATAACTTGTAATTTGTCTTTGTCTTTATTCAATTAATAAATGTGTTTTCTGATTTTAAAAAATGCAATTGACAAGAAATGAATACGTGCGCGAGAGACATTTAAGGAGTATGCACGCAAAGGAGTATTTGCATGTTCAAAACAGTAAAACTGGCATCTCCATTTAAAAGTCAAATACACATTCAATTTCTTAAAATAAGTACCCTTCACTGGAAAACTGCACTAAATTTAACCATTCCGTCAACAAAATACTGGGCACCAACCAATGTCAAAGCAAGAATACAGAACACCACTGAGTATTTTCAAAGAATTCCCGTTCTTCAACATACAACACAAATGAACACCATTCTGCTTGAAGTGTAGTGAAATAAATACATATTTTTAATTCAACTTTAGTCTACGACAGAATATGATAGAAAACAAACCACTCCAAATCTTCAGTCGTTCATTTTCGCAGTATGACATTCCTTCAACGTGCAGGATGTACACTTTAGAAAACGTTTGCTCACGGTGCAAGCAGGGTCGGTTTGAAAAGTCCGATTTCGGAGTCGACTACAGTATGTACGGCTGCTTGCTGCGCTCATTTACTGTACGTTTGAGTGTTGGATCGTTCGTCAGCTCACGGATGATTTATTTTCTCCTTCTAAATAATGTTTCAGTGACAAGTCAGTGACATACCAAAGGGATTGCATTGACTCCATTAAAGATAAAATAATTCAAAAACTGTGTTTCTCCTCGCAGGATATAGGCATATATATATAATTAATATATATATATAATTATAGGGACATCACATAGGGTTTTTTAATGTATTGTTTTATTAATTTATGGGCACTCGATAGAACTTTAAAAGCCGTCGAAATTCCAAGGATAAAGGACCTCAGGACCTCTAGTAGATGCAGCACGTAAAAATTCACATACCAACAAGAAAGAAACACAATCTTTCACAAGTTCAAAGATATGGAACATATCAGAACTTCGATGAAAGTTGTCTTAAACTTTTCTTATTACTATACTGAAACGTCACATTTCCCTTTCTACAAGTGCATATGTACCAAGTACCGTGACCATTAAAACGTTAAAACATAAACACCTGTTCGCCACACATACTGTACAAACCCTGTTTCTCAGTTAATATTTCAAATCTTTAACGGGGATGTAACATGCGCACCCACGTACCTTCACCACATCGTCGTTTAAGTGTTTGGGATCCCGGTTAACAAGGTCGATTTCTTTAGTGTGAACATCGTGCATCGCTTTTTCGTTCATACTGTCGTTATCCATGCTCTTGTTGTTCGGCTTGTAGATATTTCCTTGCTTCCTAATGAATGGCGAGTGAAGAAATCCCTATAATCCCGATGGAGAAGAAAAATAAAACTGAATCAAAAAAATCAAATCAAAAGCGGACAACTTGCAGAAGAGCAATGAGTTTGCAGCGCGTCTCAGCCTGGGATGGGTTTAAGTGCATAAAATATAGCACCACACCCCTCTGAACTACGAGTCTCGCACTCACCACAAGGGGTCATCTACAAACACTTTGACTCCAGATCAAACTCCCAAAAAAAGAAAAGAAAATCCAAAATAGATCGTCTTTTGAAAAACGGTATGATTTAATGGCAGAAAAAAAACATCTACCACCCAAGTATACAAAAAAAAAACAACATTAAAAATTAAAACAACTGCAGCTGATTTTCAGAACAGTGAACAAACAGGTCTTACAGGAGCTCACCTATATGGGTAATAGGCATGATCATTTTTAAGATAAAAAGAAAGCACAAGACCAGTTACGTTAATGCATAGATTTCTGAATGCAATATCAAAATTAACGGCAGTTGCCTTGAAGCATAAAAATACCAGACCGTGTCAGAAAAAACAGATCAAAGGTTTGCCGTGTCAGAAAATAGACAAAAATAGACTACTTCTGATGCAGTTTAGTACGTCAACGTCTAAAATGAATAAAACGTTACAATTAAGAAATTATGCGTTTATAAGATAGCTATTTCGACCAAAAATAAATAACTTGTCATAAGCGCAAAGATGTCAATACAAGATGACATAGAGACCTGTTAAGAAGCAAGTATTTAGCGATATGTGTACACAGTGTATGTAAACAGTTTGAATCGGTCACTTTAAATTGAAAGCTATAACCCTTCAACAAACGTCTTAAACGCAGTGCAGTCCCGAAAGCTCGCTTTAACACAGCGTACCTCTGATTCCTCGTCCTTGATACCACCAGTCATACTGTCCTGAACCTGAAATGTGATCAGATTAGGATTTCTCGGCAATACAATAACTTTTTGAAGGAAGCAAGAGAGCAGAATAGGCGTGGGGTTTGATGGTACTGGCGGGACTCCAGGGTTTGTGCTGTGTTAGTCAGGATGACATCAAATCCTTACATGTTTTAACGTACTGTATTGACAGGAGGCTCGCGAAGTACGGTCAATGATTAGCCGGACAGTTAAAAGCTGCACCGAGCATCCTGTCTCTGCAGCAAACCAACCGAGACGCACAGATGCAGAAGTGTTTCCCCCCCCCCCTACTTTTAATGTGCCAGAAACTGCAACCATCCATTAGCCTGTCACTCAAGAGAACTGAAAATAACTGGAGCAGGAGCCGACAGAACTGTAATACTGTATAATTAAGAATCGCGCAGCCCTGTGGGGAACAGAAATGTTCGTTAATGCTTTCCAAACTCGGTGAACGAGTTAACACACCTGCCTCTGGTCTGATGGTCGCAACCGATGTTGACGGTCCAGTCTGTTTACATTCCCAGAGATTAGTTCCACTGGCTGGGACACCTTAAACCTTGTTTAAATGTCTCCTTGCCTTTATTAATCTCACTGTGCAGGGACTTGCAACCAGAAGCCTACAGTGTGTTTTATTGGTTATGGGTTATGTGATATAAACCAGGCCTGTTTCCGTCTTTACCGATAGCAGTAGAAAATTGTATTAAAATGTTCCCATTCTTATTCAGTTCTCATCATTACACAACTATGGGTATAATGAATCCCCAGGAGCTTCATTTCACATTTGTTTAAATTAGAATTGAAACAAGACCTATGAAAAGAACCCCTATGCATTTGTGAGCAAATTTAGATTAAAATGATCTTTTTGTAGTTTCAATTTGGTGGAAACTCATTGGCAGCACACCAGCTTTGCCCAATTCCTGCCCATTATTCTTGGCATTTAGTTCAAGGTGGTTGGTCACTTATGGACAGCAGTTCTCAATAGGATTCAAGTCAGGACTTTGGGGTTTCTCAAACCAATATAGTGTAGCTTTGGCTTTGTTGTTTGGATTATGGTACTACTAAAATGTGAATTTTTGCCCCAGTTTATGGTTTAAAGCACATTTTCCAGTGTGGTCTGAGGTAATATTTGTCTCCATCTACTGTACATTACCTTGAGTCTTGATAAGCTTTCCAGTCCCTGCCGATGAGAAGCAGAACTATAACATAATGCTGCCACCACTGTGCTTGACTGAGTGATGCAATATGTTGGGTTTGCATCATGTCACGCCCGCCAGCCAGCGGAGCTCAACTCATAAGAGACCTTACCAATACCAGCAGCAGGTTAATAATAATAAGAAGCGCCGCCGCACGTGTTAATACATCAGCACACGCTCTACTGTGGGACAGGCAGCACTATTTATACCATCCAAACCCGCATCCAGCTGCTCGGTATGGAGTCTTCTCGTAGAGAGCTCCACCTCACAGTTATTTCAACCTTGCTTACTATACGTCTCCAGGATTCTGAACTACCCTTTTGCCTCTCGACCTTGAACCTCGCCTTCTGATTTGGATTGTTTGCCTCTATATTATCTTTCGCCTTTCGACCGCATTCTCGCCTGACGTTCCAGGTTGTATGCATGTCTCGATATCTACCTGCTCCTGCATCTGCATAGGATCTGCATACCTCTTCATTGGGGATTCCTTACACATCAGATCTAAAGCTTTGCATTTAGAGCTTAGACTTGAGTGCTTTGTTGTTTACCCCCACCTAGAGTGTGACTTGAATATCATTGACTTCAGTTGAGCTTGTTAGCTCTTTCAAAGTCACCATTGGCCACACAGTTACATTTCTAACCACTTGTCCTTGCCCAGCTGCTTCGTTTGGAGGGACAACCTCATCTAGGCAGTGTCTGAATGTCTTCCACTTCTTAACGATTGACTCCAGCATGTTCAAAGAGATTTTAAAGGTCTCTGAAATGTTTTTATATTCTTCTCCTGATCTGTGTCTTTCTACAACTTTATCCATGAGTTATTTTGAAAAGCTCCATGGTCTTCATAGTGGAATATGTTCTTGGAATTTGAGATACTTCACAGAGAGGTGGGTTTACTCTAAAATTATGTGAACCACTATTATCGCATGGAAATATGGGCCTCTAAACTAATTTCGTGTGCCCAGATTAATTTAGGTTTCCCACCACAAAATGCTGGAATACTTATACAATCATAACTTCTATTTACTTATTTTTTTTGTTTGTTTTTTGCTTTGGATGTAAGTCGTGTACATAAGAAAGTTTTAATTGCTGTGTCAAAGTGTCCTGATTGCAACAAAATATGAACACTGTGCAAACATCTGAATACTTCTGCTGGCACTGTATATACAAGAGTGAAGGAGAGTTTTTGTTTCAGATATATCAGTCATTAATAATAAGGGTTTGCTTTCTTCAGGCCATTGTACTGTGTTCAACCTTCCTCCGTGCTAAGCAACCCCTTTTCTAGTTATTAATTATTGTGTGTATATTTGTGGATCTAAGAAGCATAAATAAAGCATAAACATGATGGATCTGTGATAAGAACATATTATGTAAGCCTGTTGCAGTGCAAAAAAAGAATAAGCATAATTATACATCACTTTTTGCAGATACCTTTGGGTCTGGGGACAAGGAAGGTACTTTAAACAAGTGCCTTGTACCCCAGTACTGAAAGATATGGGTGCACGTTGTTGCCTAGTTGCTTTGCAACTGGGGCAGTGATCTTTATATTCAAATGATGGCAGAGTTTTCTGAAGTGCAGTCCAATTGGCCCTTTCAAGATTTCTGCGCTCTGACAGGATGATGGCAATACCCTCTAGGCCATCAAGAGAAGGCAAGTATAGCACTTACAACACAGCAACTGTGAGACCAATTGGAGAGCAATGTTTTATCATGTCTCAACCAAATCATATGCCTTTGCCCTGTTAAAAGCAACATCTCATTCCCCTTCCCCCAGAAAGACAGTAGTAAACTTGTGCGCTGTACTCTTTATAATGAGGTGGTAGCAAGTAAAGCCAAAGGAATGTTTGGGACTCATGAAGCAATCCTTATGAGATGGGTGGAATCTGTTCTTTCATGTTGTGCATCTGTACCTGTGCTTTTGTTTGTACTTCTCTATCCCCTTTAATTTTGGAATGATCCTTCACTACCATGGGGAATCAGGACTGCAGATTGAAGGGAACCACAACTGTACTTGGCTGGCCAGCAAGTTCTTCCCACCCAACACTGAAATAAGAATAACCTTCAGGTACTGGAGTGGCTGTATGTTCGGGCCAGTGCTTTTGCATTTACACTAATGTGTAAGCCAGTTCTTATTCTCTAACAAGGTTATTCATATACAGAAGATATATAGATTGTGCGATTGAGACAGTTGAAAAGAAGGAACTCACTTCCTTTAATGAACTCAAGAGATAAGGCACCTTGTCAGCCTGATATTCTGCATTAATACAAAACAAAGCAATGTTAGCTGACAGAGTGAATATTATACATCTAAGGATGATTGTGAATGTCATTCCTCCAGAAATATCTCTTCATTAATCAAAATCGAGAATCCTTGATCAACCAAACCATATTTCTACAATGGTAAACTAAATTGTTTCTTTTAAACATTACTTTCAGTTAAAGCCTAAGGAAGTGGATAAGAAGTGTTTAGTCTAGTGAGGAATTATTATGAAGCACCGGAAAAAAATGCACCTAACCAAAAATATAAATTGTATAGATAATTATTAATCAAAACCTTTCTCAAGGTTTGTCATTTCTTTTCCATTTTTTTTTATTTTAAAATAACACAATGTAATATCCTCCAGTATGTTTCAGTTGAGGAAAAAAACAGCAATGCACATTAAGAGATATTTAAATGAATAATTTATTTGTAAAATATAATAATCTTGTGGATATTATTTTCTCAATTAAAAATGTGCTTTAGCTTTATTATATACATCTGAGGCAAAAGAAAAGGTATACAGTTTTTTTCAAATCATTTAAAAGTATATAATTGGCTACATAATTTTAAAATTAGCATAAATAACTACCGTATGTCTAATACAATTACACAGAAGAAGATAACAGTAAAACCTCCTTTGCCTTCTTTTTCAGTACCCTTCCAAGACAAATGTACAGAATCACACATGTAATAGAATCTGAAATATTAAATTTAATCTGAGAAACACAAAATGAAATAGTTCTTTTTGGTTACACAAACTTTATGTGCCCTGTTACGTTACAGCATGTAAAACTATCAATATGCTCACAATGTTTCCCTATAATCTCCATTATTATTTTTTAAAGAATATAATAATATAATGATATAAATAGAAAAAAATAAACTTATTTCTACTGCTTCTTTTGGACTTAGCTGTAAGGGGTAAATATGAGGTTTCTGTGACCTGCAATATGTGAGTAGTGGGTTTTTTAATTACTCGGGTTAGTTACAGACTTATTTTTTTATTCTCTGTACTGTAAGTCAGAGCAAATAAAAACCCCTTGATACAGGCTGTATTCACACTTCTTTTTAAGGGAGCTCTCTTTTGTCAGTACAGTAGATGTTGCTTGGCACAATTGTTTATTGATTATTAATTGTTTATTAATTAGCAACTTCTTTCATGTGGTTCCATTGCAAATCAAGAAACCAAAAGAGGACATTCTTAAAATATTAAGACTGAACATGAGATTAAACTGAGAAGGGTGTCTTTAGTTTAAAACTAAGTGATGTGGGAAAGTGTAAATCCTTTAAAACTAATAGTCATTTTTAATATTTTCATATTGCTTTCTTTAGAATGTAGAAACGAGTGACCTTCAACCATGTTTTAAGATCCAGCTCAATTTTTTGGTTGATATTAGGAGATGTTCTGTTAACCATGTTGCCTAAAATACTTTCTGAGCTTGAATTCTAGCAAGGTGCGTTTAGAGAGAAAGTCTGATTACATTTTCCTCTTATGTTACTTTTTAGGCCTTACGGTCAACTCTTAGATTATTACACTAGCAAAACCAAATATACAATCACATTTAGAAAAAAGAAAACTAAAAGCAAGCCCCAGTTAACAGATAATGTGTCTATTAACACAAACCTTTAATATAAAACACATTGGGATTTATTATGGCAGACCTCACTCACTCACAATTGATTCATGTTAAATTAGAAGCAGTATTTTTTAACTTAGAGTGTATCAAAAGATATTATTTGCTAAAGTAAAAAAAAATCCAACATATATAGTTAGTAGGAAGTACTGAAAATAACATTTATCAGCCCAATCTACAGTATATTACCTATTTACAGCCTTGTATAAAACTCTACATACATTTCATTCAAATGAGCATATCAATCTAAATAATATTCATAAAGCTAAAACAGTTGTTCTGTATTGTATTGCACACATCATACACTTCTGTCACCTAGAGATAACGTACCCATCCTTGCATTTAAACCAGCACCAGATAGTCGAAATGCAAATGCTACGTGCTTCAGAAAAATGGAATGAGAAGGAATAACTTGGTCGCAAATTAAAACTACTTTCCTCTGCCTTTTCAATCATTATTAGACTTATTTCTTTAAGCAGGTGTTGGTTAATTTTGCAAGACCTGGATGTTGACAGCAGACAAACACCTCCTCATACTCCGGAACAAGGGCGAGATAAATATGTCCACCAGGCTCTTCCAGACTGACTGAACAGAAGGCAGCGCCATTATGCAGCTTCTGATTAATGGCATCACAACCCTGGAAAAATGGAAGACAGTATGAAATTCAGAGGACTCCCATGCACACATCAGATAACACTGGATATATGCAACCCCCTATGAATTTAGAGTATCACTATACTAAATTGCATGGTGTTATAAAAGCTTCAGTATGAATTATTATACAAGCATTACTTGTTTGTGAGCAGTAGTTCATACCTGCAATCTGTTTATATACTGTAGTCATGACCAATAAAGTGATGTCTAGTTAATGGTGAGATGTTTTACTCAAAGAAACTGTGCTGTGTATCTGTGTGGCTATTTGTATTTGTTTGTTCTTTGTAAGGTTATACTGTATATCAAATATGCCTCTATCAGTGTTTCTTTAATGTTGTGTTCTGACCTCTTAAACGTCTTTAAAATTTTAGAAACCATCTGTACTTTCGCAATATTTCATAAGTCTGACTGTAATTGGAACATAGGTATGAAGAACAGACCATGTCCTTTTAAATCACTAAATATGGACTTGAAAAAGCATGTATTTTTTAAATCCTTTCATTCAATGACAATGCTGCCAACCTACCAATTTTTATACAAAATTCAAATGTAAGATATTGGAACAGCCCAATTTTAACTTTTATCTAAGATGCTTCAATGTTATTGTTCAAATACTTTCAAATTTATATTTTTATTTAGATTTGTTTTGTTCCATTGACACTTTTGAGGTATAGTGTACATAACTTTGTGAAACGTGATGTGCTTTGAGAGTGTAAAAATACACAGTATTCCTAAAATTATAGCACTCCTACTTAAGGCGGTTTTTGTCATAACAGGCTATTTAACCCTACTGGTTTTTTTTTTCCTTGCTGCTTGAAAGCAGAATGCTGGTATAAACCACAGATAACCAAATATAGTAAAGTGTAACTTGCAAACTCCTCCTTCGAAACCCAAAACTCACAGCTTTGGTATATTTATCCCACCTAATTTAAAGAAAAACGTATCTGATGTTTGGTATTCTCCATAGCATAAATGCTAAGATCAACTCGCTAAAATGTCTTTCTCCCGGGCCTTTCTATATCATGGTCTACCAACAAACCAGGTAAAACGCAGGAAATTAGACAGGGGTTGAAAATGGCTCAGAGCCTCTAGCAGCTTAGAATAACACGAAATCATACCAAATATGTAAGGCGCTCAGGACTGCGAGTACAATTCCGGCTACAAAAGAGAGAGGAATTGCAAGAAGAGTTGTCAGTAGTTTGTAGAACACATATTTAACCAGCTCGAACACAGCGTGGCTTCCAATCCACACTTTATCAAAGCTGTGAGTAGTGTCCGGCTCTCCAACGACATCCTCGAAGTTAATCTGCAGAAAGAAGAATGAATTATGCTATTACACCTTCCACATACTGAATGCTATTGCAGTTAGCCATCAATAAACAGGAAAGAAACAGTATACCATTTGTACCGCAGTGTTACACAGAGCTCAGTACTGGAACTCTTAAAATGTCACAAATGCGACACAAACTGTGCAGTCAATATATTAAAAGCTAAAACTAACGTCTTTGTACTGACAAAAAGAACAACTAAGGCATTTTTAATAAGAGATAACGTGAGATAACACAAGCAAAGATGTAATATGACAGCTGCCAACACTCTCCTCCCCCGAGCGATTAGACTCGGTTTCTCTCCAGCTTCCTTACCTTTAAGTGCGAGTTTATGTCATGCGGGTCTCTGTCTGGACCGGTGCGGACTTTCGTCTTCCTAGGTAGAATTGGTTCAATGGACTTATTGAACTCGTCTTCGTCCATGATAATGCTGGTTTCACATTTCTCTTTTTCTAATCCCATTTTCAACCTGCACGGTACAAGCACAGCGTTGTGTTCGGTAGCGCTCTTTTGGCATTTGTGTTTCTGCTGCGCAAGTCTGTCCCAGACAGGCACACGCCCCGTGAGGAAAGCAGCACTAAGGACAAGCTACTAAGGGCGCTGAATGCTCAGTTCTCTTTTCTCCCTTGTATTAATCGGGTATATTTAAATGGAAAACCCTTAGAACAATTTGCTGTTATTAGGTCATACCAGTAGATATACAAAAGAAGTCTGTTAGAATTGATGTTCTTTAAAGACAGGAAAACAAATGATCGTCACATTCCCTGTATAGAGGTGTTGCTGCATGTACAGTAAGTGTAAGGATAGAGTCCTGACACACACCTCTGGATGCTGCTATTAGCTCTTCTGTGAAATGATTCATTATAAATACTCACTCTATCGCCTCAACAGGTTAATGCTACTGCACCTGCACCCTGGCCTGTCGATTGGTCAATCGGGCAAGATCTTTAGATTTTAAACTCATAAGGGTGTGCCGTGGATATGGCTTAATTAAAAGGAATGAAATACTCTTCTGACTATACAAATATGCAGATAAGATATTATAATTTATTATATATTTAACTTTGATTATTATATTTGTAATGTAAAAAAAAACCCAGCAAATATCCCTAAACCCTTTTAATTTTTGTGACAAATAGCTACAGAAACCAAATCTAACTTTACAAATATAGTGGCCTTCCAGAACAAGTATGGAATGAGCAGAGGTGAGCAAGGCTCAAAATGTTTTAAATGTCAAGACTGATCTCAGTTCTTATTTAAAGATTAGTTGTTCCTAACCAAACTTTTTTAAATGTAGCATTCACTTGCATACACTGTGTATGTGTAATCATTATAGATCATATAATTTTTTACTAACATGGTAAGTACTGATAACAATATTGGTGTAATGTGAAGAAGGCTCCACAGCTGAAACGTCATCTCTTTTCTTCTCTTTTCAGCACAGAATAAATCTTGACTTGTTCCTTTGCAGCCTACGCATGCTGACGCTGCTACCTACTTGAACTATATGCTGTATAAATGATATCACTCACAGATTTCAGAGCAATGTGTGGAAATGAATTTCCGCTACATTTGTAAGAAGTTGCTGCCACACTTGTTAGAATATGTGAGTAACAGACTTCAAGGACATATGATCATAAATTTAGTTTTACTGAAGCATGCATTGCAGGATATTAAAAATAAGTTTCATTAACTTTTGTTTTGATTTTCAATCCAGGTGCTACACCCCCTTGAAAGGATTGCAGTTTAAAGACTTGGACTCTGGCTTCTGCACGTCTGAATGACTGTACATGTTTGTGAATACATTCGTCATTGAAAAACATTGCTTCTCAAAGGTTTGAGTGGCACATCAATGCAGCTAGCTACAGTAAGTGTCTATCATCCTGCATTTCCATCACATGCACTGCATGTCCTTTACATTGTTATCCATGGTGGGCGTTTGCTCTACTCTCGCACATGAGTCGCTATTTGTGCCAAGCCTATGTGGGATTCCTGTCCTTACTAAAGACTGACCACTCTGCCTGTATTAAGTTAAATAAGGATGGTGATTCGATCTTTTGAGTAAATTATAATTCCTAAATAAGAACCTGAAAGAGTGACTACAATCAACAGTCACAATCAAGTTTACATAAATAAACATTTGAGTTAGAGAAGAAACCCACTAAGTTGTATTTTCAAACTAAAATTGCTTCAAAGTTGTAATCGAGTTAACTGTTAAACTTCAGAGTCCTGTGTCTGTATAATGAAAGTGCTTTTCCCCCTACATCTATTTTAAGTGTTATCAACATTATTGATGTTTGAAAACGTTTATATATCTGATAACTTTAACTGTTAATTCCCTTCCTTTCCTGAGGCACAGTGTTTTCACAAGTTTAAGAAATTAAAAATAATGAAACACTTTAACAAGAATGTTTAGCATTTTGAAGAACATGCCGGGTCAATAATTAATTAAACAATATAAACAAGAAAAAGTTGTCAAAATGTAGCTATAGTATAGTCCCTTTTACAAAAGCAGTTTTCTGTCAGCTGAGAAAAACATAACCAGAAGTATTTTCTGTATCATGATATTTTGCAAGCTCAATTACATGATACAGGTTGTACAGTATGTGTATACTGTATGTGTCCATTAATAAAAATATACAAAAAGAGTAACAGCAGTTGGCATAGACACACAGTGATGCATTTTTAATGAAAGGGAGTAGTTAGGGGAAGGTGAGTTCATTGTTGAAAGCTAAAAACTGCAGCAGACCATGACAACAAAGCTTAAATAGAACAGCATTGAAAACTTTTTTTTTTCCAGTGCTTCTCACAATAAGACCGGGAATCCACTGGGATTAAAATGTGCACTTTTCTGAATACAACCCATTCAGACAGCATAGGGAAAGAATAGATTGTTTGTAGCTGAAGTGAGGCAAGCCAGTGGCCTCATACATTGTCAACACGAAAGGCTGCATTTCCAACATGTTGGTTTTAGAAAGTCTCTTAATGAAATCTAGTGTCAAAATGACTGGGAGCCATGTGTCTGTGCAACACTTGTTTACAAGGAATGTGAATGGGGGCAAGGGGGAACTCTTACAATTATTAGAACATTATCAATTCATTTGGTAATGTTGGGTATGGTCTTAAAATATGGACTCACAGTGGAGATTTTAACCATGTTAGAAAACGTTTAAAAACCTGTTGGCCTGCATACTCGGATATGTTGAGCATTAAACATCACAACACTATGCACAGTGTTTCTTTGCTGCCCTCCAGATGGTTTTAGGGCACAATTAAATAGAGTCTGTTTTGCAGGTAGACACAGCAATGCAGCATTTCAAGTTTCTCACAACATTGTGAAGTGATGAGATGATTGATGTCTATGAAGTCACTCCTGTAAGTATGTAAAAAGATCAAAATAACCACAATAAATGGAGACTCTGTTCTGCAGAGAAAGTGTCGTGAGTGTTTGATAGTTTTGATAATACCAAACTGTTATGAAGTAATGGTAAATATCGATCTCTTTGCATGTATATTTTGTATGAATAACTAATGAATCTCACAATATTTCTATCTTAATATACACTCAAAATAAGATGTGTGAAGAGATATGGTACAGACATATTACAACCATGGTGAGAATTAAAGATGAGCATTTTAGTTGGATGGATGGATGTATTTCGCATTTGTTTTTCATGAAGTGGCTAATGACTTTACCAAATCAGGGCATTCCTTACTTTCTGTGTCACAGGCAAATAGATCTCTGACCATGAAAAAAAAAAATGTTTCCTTTGTCCTAATCAGGAAGTAAACATTCATTAGTATCAGCAACAACAATATAATCAGTCTGTATCCCTTTACCGGTATTGTTGAGTTTGAGTCAACTTTTGAAACTTTTTGGTGGTGCTTGTCTGAAAGTGGATTCATACTTTATTAACAAACCACTGCTCTATGCACATATCCCTTTCCCACACTACCTTCGATAATGGTAAGAAGTAAGGCACCATTCTTCACCATTCAGTGAAACAGAATCACCATGACAATGGAGCAACACAATGCATTTTATTCCCTTGGTAGAATTTATCATTCCACATACAGTACAGTAAGTGTGACGTGTTCTTTTATGATGGTAAAACCTTTGTAGTGGCAATAAGATTTTTCATATTTTGAAAACCAGGAACCAGATGCTCGTGTTCCAACAATTTTGTAAGGCTGGTTTTCCAAATTACATTTTTTTTCATTTCTAAAATAAATACTGTTGATGCATGTCCTATTCAGTTCAATATAAAATTGTGGGTTGAATTGGTCCAGGTTATCCAGCTGTATAAATGGGTATCAGCATTGCCATATACTGTAAATGCACTGCTGAAGGCTAAGACTGCAATGTACAGTGCCTTGCAAAGGTAATAATGTCCCAGTATTTTGTAAACAGAATTTGAAGGTTCAAACTGAACACAATTCTCTGGGTGAAAATAGCAAAAACTGCAAAGAAAAGACAAAAAGCGAAAGACCATTGGGAATTTCAGACTGCGTGGGTACTGTATGCAATAAACATAATTAGCATCTTGGAAAGTATCCCCCAAGGCATTTGAATACACAGAATGAAAAATGAAATAAAAAATATACATATGAATTAATCTTTGTGTCAATAAGTGATGCCAGAACAGAAAACCTTTTACATACAATCTTCTCAGGAATAAGTACAAGGTTAATTTGAGATAAATTTCTATGAACCATTTTATCATGTGTATTTGCAAGTTGCTGGCAACACAGTTGATCCGTAGGCTACAGTATCACTCAGAGACAAACACAAAAAGGTTTTTATTAACATCCAAACTATCATAGCTAAGAGAGCCAGATCAGACTTTATTTTTAATGTAAACGTGACTCTATAAATACAGGTACTCTCTACAGTGTGTTCCCACCATGTTCTTTAATAAAACCTATACTGTATCTATAGAGTATTATTGTACAATTGCCAGAGAATACTGTGATTGACATTAAGGTATTTTATGCGATAGGAAAAGGAGGGTTGGTGAGCTGTTTTTTTCCTGCAAACTGCTGTTATTCATTACTCAAATTTTTGTTACTGACATGTGTGAATTCTTTCCAGAAATAATTACAGCATCAGGTTAGAAGTCTTATACTAGTATCATGAACAAAGCTATGAAAAACAAAATTGTGCAATATCATCTACTGCAGTGTAGGAGGAGTGCTTATACTATACCGTATATCTGGAGCTTACACACGGCAAAGGATTTTGGATACCAGAACATAAAAGGACCTCATTACGTGAATATAAGCAGTTTTTTTTATTTGCACGTTTTACCTCAAATTCGCAGTAGGTGAGCTAGTGTCTCTTGTGAATTGTCCCTCTTTTGTTGTGTGTGAGTATTCATGCCTTGTGATGCACTGGTGTCTAGCATAATGGGCTGGCACCCTACGTTTTACCCTTATACAGGTACTTGCAGGACAGGTTCCAGGTTTGCCATGACCAGGAGCAAAGAATGTTTCTGATGATGGACAGAAGGATGTTTAATTTTCCATTCAATTCCTTCATATTTTTGTGTGTTTGTGAGTTTAGCATTGTACAACTTGACAGCAAAACACATTTCTTTTTCAGATGAGTCTGACTTTTCTCTTGTCATCT